AACCAATGTCAACCTAGGTATATCTTAGAGTTCTTCTAGATATCTTTACAATTCAAATCATTTCATAATCATCAACATATTCATTTCAATTCATAATTTAATCCTCAATAATCATTTTAATCAGTAGTTTCATCAAGTCATTATCATCATAATAATCATTCATCATAATCATCAATCAACTTAACGATTGATAACAAACAGCGGCCTAGTCTCGAGTGTTAACACCCGAACTTACCGTCATGCATCACATAATATTTTATATGCCAAAAACATCATTTTTAGTGTACAAACTCATATTTATATTGTTCATAATTAATTGATATCAAAAATAGGATTTTTACGAATATTTTCAAAGAGCACTGGACTATTGAAAAAAAATAACTTAAAACGATCAATTAATTTATAAAAATTGATTTATATAATTTAAATAATCAATTAATTCATAAAAATCGATTTTTGCAATATAAATAATCCATTATTTCATAAAAATTGATTTTTACAATATAAATAATCAATTAGTTCATAAAAATCGATTTTTGCAATATCAATAATCCATTAATACCTAAAAATCGATTTTTATATTTTAAATAATCAATTAATACCTTAAAATCGATTTTTAGTTATTAAATAATCACCTCACCTGAACAAATTTCTAATCGATTCGTAGAAAGAAATAATCGATTTTTGCCCACTGTTCATCATCTTCTTCCTCTGGTCAGTTTTTAACATTATCATTTTTAATTACCAAATTTTAATTAAATTATATAGGAATGTCCCCCAATGTTCACAGATCATTTTAGAGTCATTAATTCGTTGTTTTAACAACAATTTCACGGTTTATGATTTTTGGTTCTTCAAACATGTCAAACACAAAACTCAACCAAACAACCGTTTATGAACGTAAAAACGATCTATACGAACATTCTAGTCACTACATATACCTACGGGCTTACCTCAAAGCTTAACGGAGGTTTTGAGAATTTTCCGACGAGTGTTCTGGCGAGGTTTGGGGCTAGCTCCGGCAACTTTACAACAATTTGACAGCATCATTGCACTCTCCACACTCAGAGGAACATATTAGGAGGAAGAACTTCATGAATTGGTGGAGAAATGAGAGATTAGCTCTCCCTCCTTATATAGGAAGATGAAGAAGAAGAAGACAGGTATGCTGCGTAGGATTTGCGTAGGAATTGCTCTTCAATCGGCTGAGTGGAAGAGGAGGCTCCGTCCCTGATCGGGACTAATTTTGGTTCTAGTCGGGTACACTTTTTGGTCCAACTTTCTCCGAATTGAAATCCGTTTGCACCGTTGCAATCAGACAGTTAAAATTGATTGTTGATTTTGATAGAGTCAAAATTGATTTAGTTGACCTTTATATAAAAAGGTTCTCACATTTAATTCATATTATTTATTTCCATGATTTATTTCAATAAAACATTTCAATATTTACATAACAAGTCAATTTCTTAATTTATTCTTGATTTGGGTCGGTACTCTGTTCCCATTCAAGATTACACAAATAGTAAACATATTGGATTTATCTATATGAGATTTATCCCAATTATGTTTATTGGATTCAAAACATATTTTATTTCGGTCCAAATCCCAACAACAATTTATTTTAATAAAAACAAATTTGATTAATTTATTATTTATTTATTACTCCCTCTGTCCCATTTTAAATTGCCTGTTTGCCTTTTTTCTCCGTCCCAAAATAAGTTGCCTGTTAGTTGTTTTCGTAAACTTTTAAAAATAAAATACCTAAACTACCCCGAAAATAAGTCACTTTTCTTCACCTTATTTTCTTATTCATCATCACCCCTTCTAAAAAGTAATGTCAATTTCGAAAAATCAATTCTATTTTTTATTTTCCTTAAATATGCCCAAAAATCAAAATAGATGATTTAAATTGGGACGGAGGGAGTAGTAATTCTAGGGTATGTTTTGGGGCGTTACAAGAGGTCTATCTTAGGGGTCTTCTAACTAGCCTTAGTAATACGATTCATTAATTCATTATTTTCACTTTAACAATTCATGATCATCATTCAGAACGTTCATCATCATTAATTAATTATAATCAATAATCAAACAATCGTCACAATACATAATAACAAATAGCGGCCTAGTCTCGAGTGTTAACACCTGAACTTACCGTCATGCATCACATAATGTATATATGTCACAAACATCATTTTTATTGTACAAAATCATATTTATATCATTTTATAATTAATTGGTAACAAAAATCGATTTTTATTTTTAAAATAATCAATTAATACCTAAACATCGATTTTTATATTTAAAATAATCCATTAATAGCTAAAAATCGTATTTTATATTTTAAATAATCCATTAATGGCTAAAAATCGATTTTTATATTTTAAATAATCAATTAAATGCTAAAAAGCGTTTTTTATATTTTAAATATTCAATTAATTGCTAAAAATCGATTTTTATATTTTAAATAATCAATTAATTGCTAGAAATCGATTTTTAGTTTCAAAATAATTGATTAATACTTTTCAAATCGATTTTTATATTTTAAATAATCGATTATATCTTGACTTCGAACATGGACATAATTCTAATCGATTCTTAGGAAGTAAATAATCGATTTTCAGCTACTGTTCATCATCATCTTCCTCTGGTCAGTTTCGAGTATTATCATTTTTAATCACTAAACTTCAATTTAATTATATAGAAATGTTTTTTCCCAGGTTCATAGATCATTTTAGAATCATTAAAACAAATTTTTAACATGAAATTCAAGGTTTATGATTCTTGGTTCTTAAATCATGTCAAACACAAAACTCAATCAAACGACTATTTATGAACGTAAAAACAACCTACATGAGCATTCTAGTCTTTAGATATATCTACGGGCTTACCTCGAAGCGTAAGGGAGGTTTTGAAGATTTTCCAGCGAAACTTCCGGTGACTATATCTCTCTACTCCAGCAACCTCTCACAAAGCTGACAGCACCAGTGTGTTCTCCTCACTCAGAACAGCATGATAGGATGAAGAATTATAGATTTTGGTGGAGAAATGAGGAAGATTGGTCATCCTTAAATAGGCCAGTTGGAGAGAAAGAAGAAGACACAGGTTTGCAGCTTCCGTGATTGAGCGGTGATTCGTATTTTGGATTCGGCATAATTGAACACGGAGCGCCGTTTGTTGTGTAGTCTCTAATTGGGACTAATTTCGGTCCCAGTTGGGATACACTTTTTGGTCCAACTTGTTAGAATAATAGACCAACGCTAGAGGGGGGGTGAATAGTGTTTGATCGTAGAAATCGCAGGAATTAAAAAAATTAAAAGAGAAGTAAAGAGAAGAGTAAGATGCACACCGAATTTTACCCTGGTTCACCACAACTTGTGGCTAATCCAGCCTCCCGAGAGACACTCTCGAGCTACACTATTATCTTGTTAAGCTTAACGGTGCTTAACAAACCCTTACAACTTGAGAGTTCGAGTTACACGAACCTCAACGAACTTCAAAGGAAACAGCCCTTAATTTGAATCAACTGAGAGAAATACTTTCTCTCAATGTGTCTAAGAACACAAGTACACTCAAGAACGAGACTCTCTTATAGAGTAGATTATGAGTAAACTAAGTATGCTCAAGAACAACTCAACCTTCACACGATTTGGCTCTAGAAAGGTATGGAAAATGATGTTATTTGAATGCAATGAAAGTATGAATATTGTGAAGTGAATTGGTGAGAAAAGCAGACCCAAACACCCCTTTTTATAGTGCCAAAATAGGCTCCAACAGACCAATGCATTAAAGGGGTAATTGGCTTGATTTAAGGGATTGAATAAATTTGGGATCTGCAGGATATTGGCTTCCCATCGATGTTTGGGACTTACCCATCGCTGGTAAGCCAATTTTCCTTCAATTTTGAAGCTAACGGTTGCCTACCCATCGATGGGTACAAGCTTCCCATCGATGTTTGGGAGGTTGACTTTAAAACAAGGAAAGAATCAACCTTAAATGACCTGCAACGGTCATTCCCTCCCATCGATGGTTTAGCCTTACCATCGCTGCGCAAGGTTGTTTTGCCTTGTGTTAATTTTGCACCAAGGCTTTAACAGCGATGGGTAGAACTTCCCATCGCTGTTTGGCATGGTTCTGGAAGTTGGTTTGGCTGAGGGACTGCTTACCCATCGATGGGAAGATCTTCCCATCTTAACCACAGCCTAGCCAACCGATGCAAAAACCAACCGAAAAATCCAAAGTTCTCCAAAATAAAAACCAAGTGTTTAAAACACTTATTTGATGTGTTTGGCTAAGAAATCAAGTGAGACACTTTAAAAACCACGTCATTTGAGTGAAAACCACGGCTAGCCAAGTTTACAACGTTTTAAATGATTTTTGTCAAACGACCAAAAGCGAAAGATGGTTTTCAAAGTGTTTTTGTTGGAGAACCATTTGAGCATGCCAAAGAGTGAAAATCAATCATAACAAGTTGAAAACCACTCGGTTGGTTCGGACGCCAAAAACCAATGCCGATAACCGAAAGCCGAACGCCGGTTTCTGAAACCTGAACGCTGGATGGCTTGGTTTTTGGTTTGGGCGAACACCAAGTGTTTTTAATGACTTAAACAATTTTGAAAAACATTTTTATGATGTAAGAAATACAATAAAAGATTTTAGCCTAAAGAGCCAAGGTGTAAGGATTGGGTCGGTCTTGATTACAATAAGGACCGACTCAATGAAGCTGAGACTAAGGTCTTCGTTCTTGGTCTTTGTTTAGCTCTTGTTCTTGTCTTCCTTCTTCGCCTTGTATATTCAATGTTTGACTTGATCACGGCGGTTTGGCATTATCAAAACCTGTCATAAAACAAACACGGCTTTAGTACAAAAACGTGATAAGCCCGTGTTTCAACAATTTCCCCCTTTTTGATAATGGCAAACGAGATGAGGTTATGCATATGAGGAAGGCTTTGAGACTTAAAAAAAATGTTCCCCCTTATTAGATGCCATTTTGTTTGAAAAAAAAATTCGCCCTCAATTTATGCATAACCTTGATATCTTCCCCCTTTTGACATTAACAAAAAGAATTAAAAGTGAACTTTATAATTTAAAAGTAAACTTTTATTCATTAAAGGAGGAGAAAATGCGGAGTACAACGGAATTGAAATAAAAAATGCAATTAAAGTAGGGAGAGGAGAGAAGGAAGAGTCTAGGCAGTGGGGTCCTCGTCATCTTCGTCGTCCTCAACATCCATGGGATCCCCGTCGACCGCGTCCTCAAAGTCGGCTTCGTCGGGGGAGGAGGATGGAGCATAGCAGTTATCCTCCTCGTCCTCGCCTTCATAGTTTTGGCCGAGGAAGGTGGTGTCAAAGGGCGGCGGGACGTAGTTGATGCCGCGGAAGAACGCTTTCATGTCGTGGTGTTGGCGTTGCATCGTCCAGTCCATCCTCTCCAGGTACTGGCCCATGCCATCCACGGTGATGGTTAGCCGATTCAGGGTATCGGCTATGGACTGTAAGGAGGCCTTGGCGGGAGCGGGGGCTGGAGCCCGCCTGGGTCCTGCGCCGGTTCTGTCACCGGACTTCTTCCGGAAGGTGCTGTCTTGGATGATCCAAACTTTCGTCATCTTCGTGTCCGGGCTGGCGATGTGGATGTCGGAGGCAACAATGAGATCCATGACGAGGAAGGCGTATGGCAAGCTCCGCTCGGTGGTGATGGAGGCGCAATCAGCCATGTGAATCATGACGTATTTTGCCCAATTGATCGAGGCGCCATGGGTGATAGCATGAACCGCCTTGAGATCCTCGTTGAAGAGACATGTGTGGCTACTGTCCCGGGGGCGAAGAATTCGGGTGAGGATGTAGAGTAGAAGGCGCTTCTCCGGTGGGGCTGAGTGGATGGTTGGTGCGCCGCTGTGACGGATGAGGTTGGTGATTCCAAGCTCTCAGATGACCACCGTCTCGTTGTTGAGAATCCAATCATCACCACCATATGTCGCGATGTCGTCACTGCGGGTGGGCAGCCCTGCAACCCGAGCAAAAGTAGCCAAGTCGAACTCTATGTCATAGAGATTGATGCTGCTCCAGATGGTGTCCCCGTCTCGGCGGAGATTGGAGTAGAAGGCCCGGACATAAGCGGGATTGAAGGCGGTGCGACTCCTGGAGACAAAGGGCCACAAACCCGACTCCTTGAGTTGGTTGTCAAGGTCGTAGTATCCCTTCTGTTGAGGGAACAGCTCGGGCAGCACCCTTGGCGGTGAGATGGGACGTTTGGCGAAGTGGGTGATGAAGCGAGTAAGTTCCTCTTCCGACCCGAACTCCAAGAAGGATCCGTCCAGGTATGGGAAAGGTTGAGGCGCAGAGCTCGTAGCCTCGACGGTGATCTTCTTCTTCGAAGCTTTTGTCTTCTTTCCTCCGGCCATTGGGGCGATTTTGAAGAGAAGAGAGGAATTTGATTAGGAGATTGAAATTTGGATGAAAATTGTGATTAGGAAAGATAGAATATGATGTATATTTATAGGAGAGAAGTGAAAACCGTTTGAAATTTGAAAAAACTAGCTGTTGGGTCATTAATTGTGGTTCCAACGGTTCTGAGAATTCAAACTGCAATTGCCTTCCCAGCGATGGTAGGATCTACCCATCGATGGGAAGGTCGCTACTGGAAAGCGTAGGAGAGAGCAGGGCTGCCTTCCCAGCGATGGTAGGATTCACCCATCGATGGGAAGGTGGCTACTGGAAATCCGATAAAAAAAATTTAAAAAAAAAAATTAGTGTCAAACACCCAGCGATGGGAGAAAGTTCCCATCGATGGGAGGGGAGGTTCTGAAGAAAAATTTTTAAAAAAAATCCTTCACCCAGCGATGGGATGAAATACCCATCGATGGGTAAGATGTTTCTGGAAATTCGTTAAAAGATTTTAAAAAAGGAGAGTCAATTACCCATCGATGGGAAGAGGGGTTCTGGAGAAAGTGAAGACTTCCCTCCCAGCGATGGTATAGCCCACCCATCGCTGGTTCCCCCTGATTTCCAGAATTCTACACTTCGAACCGTCCTTGCAAAAAAGAGTTAGAAAACCCTCCGACGCTCAAGTTAGTAAACGTTCAAGCAAAGATAAAGAGTGATAAAATGCACAAATTAGATCATCGTGGAGTCAAGGATTCCGAGTTCACTACGAATGCGGAAGAACGACTCTTTCTCTAAAGGTTTTGTGAAAATGTCGGCTAATTGGTTGTGTGTTTCAACAAACTCAATTTCGACATCACCTTTGAGAACATGATCTCTAATGAAATGGTGTCTAATGTCAATGTGTTTCGTCCTTAAATGAAGAACGAGATTCTTCGTCAAGCTTATGGCGCTAGTATTGTCACACAGAAGTGGAACGTGACTGATACTAAGGCCATAGTCCACAAGTTGTTGCTTCATCCATAGAGTTTGAGCACAACAACTACCGGCGGCAACGTATTCCGCTTCGGTTGTGGATAACGCAACACTGACCTGTTTCTTGCTAAACCATGAAACTAAAGAGCTACCAAGTAAGTGGCAAGTCCCACTCGTAATTTTACGGTCCAATTTGCAACCGCCAAAGTCCGAGTCGGAGTAACCAACCAGATGACATGAGGAGCCTTTTGGATACCACAGTCCAACGTTAACCGTGCCGACAAGGTATTTCATGATCCGTTTCACCGCCGTTGAGTGCGATTCCTTCGGACATGATTGATACCTTGCGCAAAGGCATACGCTAAACATGATATCCGGCCTACTAGCGGTAAGGTAGAGAAGGGATCTGATCATACCTCGATACTTTTTGACTTCAACTTCCTTACCTTTTTCGTCCTTGTCTATGTGGTCGGACGTGCTCATCGGGGTCGCCATGGCTTTCGCGTTGTCCATTTCGAATTGTTTTAGGAGCTCCTTGCAATATTTGGTTTGGAAAATGAACGTGCCATCTTTCATTTGCTTGACTTGGAGTCCCAAAAAGAATGTAAGCTCTCCCATCATGGACATTTCAAATTCGCTTGTCATTAGCGTTGAGAATTCCTTGCAAAAAGACTCGTTAGTAGCACCGAATATAATATCGTCTACATAAACTTGAACCAAAAGGATGTTATTGTTTTTACTCTTGATAAAAAGTGTAGTGTCTACCTTTCCCCTTTGGAAACCACTATCCATAAGAAATTTGCTCAAACGTTCGTACCAAGCACGGGGTGCTTGTTTAAGACCGTAGAGCGCTTTCTTGAGTTTGAAGACATGGTCGGGAAACTCAAAGTCTTCAAACCCCGGGGGCTGGTCAACATACACTTCCTCTTGAATAAAACCATTGAGGAAGGCACTCTTAACATCCATTTGATAAAGTTTAAAATCCATAGACGAAGCAAAAGCAAAAAGTAAACGAATAGCTTCTAAACGTGCTACAGGTGCATAAGTTTCTTCGAAATCAATGCCTTCTTCTTGATTGTAGCCTTTAGCTACAAGCCTAGCTTTGTTTCTAGTGATTATTCCATTTTCATCAAGTTTGTTACGGAACACCCATTTCGTACCAATAACCGTACGATCATCGGGTCTTGGCACAAATTCCCAAACGTCATTCCGTTTGAATTGGTTTAGCTCCTCTTGCATAGCCAAGGTCCAATGTTCATCGTTTATTGCTTCGGAAATGGTTGTAGGTTCAATTTGAGAAAAAAAAGCCATGTGTCCTACAGTGTCCCTAAGTGAGTTACGAGTACTTACCCCGTGGTTGATGCTACCGATTACCTGGTCAAGCGGATGGTTCTTGTTTGTTCTCCATGCTATGGGAAGCTCGGTTGCTTCTTCTTCGTTTTCCTCTTGTTCTTCTTCTTCCTCCTGATTTTCTTCTTCACCTTGGTTAGTCGCTTGAGGTATCTCCCCAGTTTGCGGCTGTGTGTTGATGTATATTCCCGTGTTTTCTTCATCGTCATCAACGTGTATTCTCTCTAATGAATCTGCAAGATCATCACAAATATCCTTTCTCGCCAAGCGAGGATTATCTTCGGAAAATACAACGTGAGGAGACTCCTCAATAGTCAAGGTACGTTTATTGAAGACTCTATAGGCCTTGCTACGTAATGAGTAACCTAGAAAAATTCCTTCATCCGACTTGGCATCAAATTTGCCTAAATTGTCTTTGCCATTGTTGTGAATAAAACATTTGCAACCAAAGACTCGAAGATGGGAAAGGTTTGGCTCTCTCCCTTTGTATAGTTCATAGGGCGTTTTCATGAGTATCAGTCGAATGACAGCTCGGTTTAACACGTAGCTTGCGGTACTCACGGCATCCGCCCAAAAATACTTAGGGATTTTTGCCTCATTGATCATAGTTCTAGCCATCTCTTCGAGACATCTATTTTTACGTTCCACCACTCCATTTTGTTGTGGTGTACGTGGGGCTGAGAAGTTATGATCAATGCGAAGTTCGTCACACAAATCTGAAAACAGATTTCGTTCGAACTCTCCCCCATGGTCGCTTCTTATGGCTACTATGGTTGTTTCTTTTTCATTTTGAACTTTCTTTAAGAAATTTTTGAAAATGTGAAATGCCTCACTTTTATGAGTTAGAAATAAGGTCCATGTAAACCTAGAATAGTCATCGACAATCACAAACGCAAAGTAATTGCCACCAAAACTTTTTGTTCTAGAAGGACCAAAGAGATCCATGTGCAAAAGTTGAAGCGGTCTAGATGTTGAAACAACGTTCTTAGACTTAAACGAAGCCCGAACTTGCTTCCCCTTTTGACATGCATCACATATGGTGTCTTTTTCAAACTTAAGTTTTGGAATGCCAATTACTAAGTCTTGTGAAACCAATATGTTCAAAAGGTTCATGTTCATATGAGCTACCCTTCGGTGCCATAGCCAAGTGTCTTCCTCTTTACTCATGAGGCACTTAGCAAAGCCGGAAGGAGATTTGTCTAAGTTAACCATATATATGTTATCGATTCTATCACCACGTAGAATGAACTTATTGTCACTAAGGCGTTCTACTGTGCATGATTTTGAATCCAAGGTCACACGATTTCCCTTGTCACATAATTGACTTATGCTCAAGAGATTGTGTTTGAGACCTTTAACAAGCAAGACATTATCTATAGAGGAGTCTTCGGACTTACCTACTGAGCCGACGCCAATAATTTTTCCTTTGCTATTATCTCCAAAGACTACGTTTCCTCCTTTAGCGGGTTTGATTTGTAGGAACTTGGATGCATCTCCGGTCATGTGCTTAGAGCAACCGCTATCAAGGTACCAAAGTACACTTGACGCCTTCAAGCATACCTACAAAAATGATTTAATAAGATTTAGGTACCCAAGTCTTTTTGGGTCCTTGAGTGTTAGGTGCAAAGTGGTAGTGTGATTCATTTTGTGCCCAATGCCTATGCCTAGTAAAGCAAACAGGAGCTATGTGTCCTACCCTATTGCAATAGTGACAAACTACGTTTGGGTTGTGCATCCTCCTAGGTTGATAATAGTTGCTAGTGGGTCTAACCATATTCATCCTATTTTGAGAAAATATTTGTTTTTGAAAATTCTATCTTCTAGGTGTTCTAGCATTATTTTGTCTATTTTAAAAACTATTTTTATGCACAAAATCATTTTGATAGTTTTTCCTAGGTTGTCTAGCATGTACATTTTCAGTCCTAGGTTTTTGTCTAGGTTGTCTAGTGTCCTTAGTTTGACTAGATTTTCTATTATCCTGATTTTTAACCTTCTTGCGTTGAGCCTTAGTAGGTTGTCTAGGTGTATGCTCAACATTTTTATCCTCAGATTCATTTTTATCAGAACCTATTCCTTCCTTAGAAAAATGCATAGTGTCAAGAAGTAAGTTAAGATCTTTGTGTGGTGTATTGAATTTCTTAACCGTACTCTCAAGTTTAGCAACCTTTTCTTTTAAAGTTTTGCAAGATTCACATTCACTTGAGGAACTTTCTAGTTTGTCAGCGCTTCTTTTGCCATAAAATTTGTTTTCTTGTTTCAACCTTTCATTATCTTTTTCTAGATTTTCAAAATCATTTTCAAGAGTTGAAAGACGTTTCTTTAAAGATGTGTTGGTTTTAGAAGCGCTAACAAATTCATCACAAAGCTCTCGAAGAGCTTCTTGCATCTCTTCAAAAGTGTAAGAGTCGGAAGAAGGGGTACATACCTCATGTACTTTGTCGATGTGGTCTTCGTGTGCCATGAGACAGAGGTTGGTGGCTTCTTCCTCTTCTTGATCCGTTGACTCATCCCCGGAGTCGCCACCCCATGAGATGTAGGCGCGTTGCTTTTTGAAGCAAGGTTTGTCCTTGCTGCTTTTGCCTTTTGGACACCTCGGCTTGATGTGGCCTATCTCACCACAACCATAGCACTTAGGGGGACCTCCGTGCTTTCTTCCTTTCCGTTCAAATTCTTTCTTCCTGAATTTGTGGAATTTCTTGATTACGAGTCCGAACTCGTTGTCGTCATCGCTTGAAGCTTCTTCCATGGTCTCCTTGGTTGC